ATGAAAATGTTCTAGATTTGGTTGTGGTGATGGTTCTACAATTATGTGAATATACCATATATCCCAGAGCAAACCCTTAGTATGTTTAACAAACTTGGTTTAACACACTTTCCCAGAGACTACTCCTATAAGACTTCTTTTCCTTTTCTTAATTTTCTCACTTAATATGTATAAGACTGATGAATCACAGATCTGTATCCCTGAAACAAATAATATATGTTAATAATTAAAAAAAAAGAAAGTCAACGGAACAACTAAAAAGAAAGATTAGAAAAATAACTTACAATGCATGTTTTCCCGCCAGTTGTGGTAAAATATGCATAACATAAAATTTGACATTTAGCTATTTTTAAGTTTACAATTCAGTGGCATAAGTATATTCACCATATTATACAACCATCACTGTTCTCCATTCTAGAACTTCTTTATCATCTGGATTCATTATACTGTAACTCCCCAACCCCCTGTCCCCACGGTCCCTGGTGACCATCATTCTGATTTCTGCCTCTGGTAGATTGCCCATAATTAAAAAGAGTACAATACAAAGTGTTGGAAAGGATGTGGAGAAATTGGAAACCTCATACTTTACTGGTGGAAATATAAAATGATGTAGCTATTTTGGAAAACTGTTAGTTTCTTTAAAAGTTCAGCATATGTTTATCATATCACTGAGCAAATTCAATTCTAGGTCTCTCCCCAAGAGAAATAAAAACACGTTCACAAAAATATGTATACATAGATACTCATAACAGACTATGCATAATAGTAATCAACTAGAAATAATCCAAATTGCCAAGAATTGGTGGGTGAACCCACATGTTGTGAGATACCTCCATACAGTGGAATACAACTCAGCAATATAAAGAAATGTATGATTCCTGAAACAACATGGTTGGACTGTAAAAATTATATAAGTGAAAGAAAATAGAAGGCAAATTGCATGATTCTTACTTTCTTAAAGATCTCATTTATTTATTTGTCAGAGAAAGAGAGCACAAGCAGGGGGAGTGGCAGGCAGAGAGAGAAGCAGGCTCCCCGCTGAGGAAGGAGCCAGATGTGGGACTCGATCCCAGGACCCTGGGATGATGACCTGAGTCGAAGGCAGACGATTAACTGACTGAGCCACCTAGGTGTCCCTGCTTGATTCTATTTATATGAAAAATTTTCAAAATTTTTAGAAAAAGCAAAAAGATAACATATACATAGGGTTTGCCTGGGGCTTAGGGTTAGAGATCTACCATAGGGTTAATATGAAGACATTTTTTGGGTGAAGGAAGAATTCTATATCTAGGATGTGGTAATGGTTATGCAGTTGTATAAACTTACTGAGCATTAAATTTATACATTATTAAAATGTATTAAATGGGTGATTTGAGTGTATAAATTTACTGATGATTGGGGAATGACTATCAGTTATGGTGAAGAGGTAAGCAAATCTTCTCCCTAGAAAATAAGTACATTACTTGAAAGAATTTTCAAAAATTACTATTTGGGGACTCTGGATATCAACCAAAAACTAAGAATGAAATGATAAACATGTAAAGATTCTAGAGTTTTGATAACAGTAAAAGGAGAAATGGCCTTTTTGCCTGAGGCTGCTCTTATTCACATCTGCCTGGAGTTTGGTGAGTGTGATAGTTTTACCAGAGTAAAGTGGGCCAGATGAACAAGCTATTTCTCTTTTAGGCAGGGGATTTACTTGATTTGGAGTAGTATGTTAGAAGCCAAGCCCCAAAATATTTCCATTAAAAGTAGTAAATTTGGTAGGTGATGAATAAGGGATAATGTTTGGCTCGGCTAGCCTGAGATTGCAGTTCAGTTTGGGGCCAATTTGAAGAACAGAGAGGAAAAATGTTGGTGAAATATAAATAGAGCCTCAAGATCTTTGGAACAATATCAAGGGTACCAACATATGTGTAATTGGGATCTCAGAAAGAGAGGTGATAAAGGGTCAGAAAGACATTTGAAGAAATGAAATATATAAATATTTATCTTTCTCTTCCATTAATTTTTTTTTTAAAGTAGACAATTGTTTTAGGGAATAATTATAACCTGTTTCTCAGTTGATAATACATATGACAACAGTAACACAAAGGAATGGGGAGGAAATACAGCTATACTGGAGCAAGGAGCTATAATTTATTGCAATTAAGTTTGTAATTAATGGACAATCTTGTAATCCATGTAGCACCTTGCAACCTATATAGCAACCACTAAAAAATTACTCCAAAAAATCAACAGAAGAATTAAAATGGTGACATTAAAAATAATTAACACAAAAAAAGAGGATCAGAAGTATAATAAACACCTGAGACAAAATAAATAGCAAAATGGCAGAACTAAATCCAATTATGTGCATAATTATATTAAGTATAAATGGATTCAAGTTAAAAAACAGTGATTATCAGACCAGAATCATTCAGATTTGAAGACATAATTGGTTGAAATAAAAGGTTTGGAGAAATATACCATGCAAACAATAACCGTAATAGGACAAGAGTGGCTATATTAATATCAGACAAAATACTTTAGTCAAAAAATAGTGCCAGAGAGAAAGATATTTCATAATAACAAGAGGGCCAGTGTAATAGGTAGATAAAACAAATATTAATGTGTAAACAGCTACAGCATAGCCCAACAAACATTGAGCAAAGTCCAGCAGATTGAAAGGAGAAATTATAGCTATCATTTACAGCTTGAGATTTAAATACTTTGCTCTCAATAATTGATAGGAAAAACTAGATAAAATTTGTGAAGATTTATGAGACTCGATTAACCCTATCAACCAGCACAGTGTAACACTCCCTCCCCCAAACCTGTAGAATTTGTATTCTTTTCAAGAACATCTGGAATGTTTTCCAAGATAGACCTTATGGTTGGACATAAAACAAACCTAAATAGCTTTAAAACGATTAAAATCATGCAAAGTATGTTCCCTGTGAACTATGGAAATCAATAACAGAATGAAATTATGGAAATCTCCCAATATTTGGAAATAAAACAACACACCTACCTATAAATAACTCATGCGTCAGAGAAGGAATCTCAAGGAAATTAGAAAATATTTTGAATGGAATGAAAATAAAAAGTGAACATATCAGAATTATGAAGTGCAGCTATTCACTTGCGTAGAGGGAGATTTTTAGCTTTAAATGCTTATAGTAGAAAAGAAAAACAGGGGGCGCCTGGGTGGCTCAGTTGGTTAAGTGACTGCCTTCGGCTCAGGTCATGATCCTGGAGTCCTGGGATCGAGTCCCACATTGGGCTCCCTGCTCAGCAGGGAGTCTGCTTCTCCCTCTGACCCTCCCCCGTCTCATGCTCTATCTCATTCTCTCTCTCAAATAAATAAAATCTTTAAAAAAAAAAAAAAGAAAAGAAAAATGGTCTGAAACTAATAGTCTTCGATTTTCCCTTTTTCTCATCTGAAAAAGAGCAAATTATAACCAAGCAAAACAAATGAAGTAAATACTAAAAATACGAACAGAAGTAAAAAAAAAAATAGCAAACAGTGCAATATTGGGGAAAATCCAAAATTGGTTCTTTGAAAAGATCAACAAAATTGATCCTCAAAAAGTTAAAAATAGAATTATCATATGATCCAGCAATCTGGCTTCTGGGTTAATATGCAGAAGAATTCAGAGCAGGATCTCGAAGAGATATTTATACACCCACGTTCATTGCAGCATATTCATGGTAACCAGGATGTGGAAGCAATCCATATATCTATCGCTGGGTGAATGGATAAAGAAAAATGTGATATATACATACTATATAATAATATTATACAGCCTTAAAATAGAGGGAAATCTCATGACATGTTACAGCATGGACAAACCCTAAGGACATTTTCCTAAGGGAAATAAGCCAGTAACAAAAGTGCAAATATCTATTCTTTCCATTATTTTCACTCTCTAAAATAATCATAGAAACAAAACAGAAAGGTGGTTACCAAGGGCTAGGAAGGGAGGAGAAAGAATTAGTGTTTAGTGGGTATAGAGTTTCAGTGTTGCAGATGAAAAAGTTGTAGAAATCTGTTACACAACAGTCTGAATGTACTTAACATACTGAACTGAACACTCAAATATTGTTAAGATGGCAACAATGATCTATGCACAAAAAATTGATAAATCTGTGGCTTCACTGAATTGCTGGTTTGAGTCAGAGCAATAAGGCAAGAAAATTAAAGCATTAAGATAGGAAAGGATGACAAATCAGACATTTCTATATAATGGATTGTTGTAATGGTTATAGTACTGTATAAAATCATTGAATTATAAACATAAAATAGGCAACTTTTATGGTATGTGAATTATACCTTTGTAAAACTCTTCACACTAAAAGAAAAATTAATGTTGCCCGTGTAGGATTAGTTCCTGGTGTACTTTAGATTATTTAGGGGCACCTGGGTGGCTCAGTCAGTTAAGCATCTGCCTTCAGCTCAGGGTCCTGGGATCGAGTCCCGCATCAGGCTCCTTGCTCAGCAGGGATCCTCTTTCTCCCTCTGGCTGCCACTCCCATTGCTTGTGCTGCACGCACGTGTCCTCTCTCTCTCACAAATAAATAAAATCTTAAAAAATATTTCTAGATTAAATGTTTTATGTCTGAATATCATGACCCGATAATGATCTAGTCATGAGCAAGCATTTTCCAGCAGGCCATAACACAATAAGAACTGTATGTTCTTTGGATGAAGCTCTCCATGGCTGACTTTATGCTTTTTGTTTTCTTCTGAACCTCTACTTCAAGAAATTATTGTCTCTGTCATTTACAGTAAAGCCAATCAACTGTTCCTAGAGTTTATATGATTGATCTACTGGGGCATATATCTTTTCCTCATTCCTAAAGGGACCTTCTCACCTTATAGTGACAAGAATAATCTTCCAATATAGTGGAAGCATGTTATTTGGTCAGGGGTATCGTGGTGTAGCTGTGTATATCTTCAGGCTCAGTGATTGGTGAGTAAAGCTTAACTTCCATTTGCCTTTTTTCTTTCTGTAAAGGTGCTTGTGAGCGAGGATTCTGACAGTGATGGTATTGTGGCCCACTTTCCTGCTCATGAAAAACCAGTGTGCTGTATGGCGTTTAATACAAGTGGTATGTCCTTTAAAAACAATTTTTTTTTGCCATTTATATCATGGGTTTTTCAACCAATTTTTTTTAGAAATGGAAAATATGAAATATGGAATCTGACTTTTCTTATATGGGTCAGTGTATATCAGAAAAGTAAGTAGTGTTCAGTAAGTGGTTCTTGAATGAATTAATTTAAAATAAAAATTTAGAAATCCTCTAAGTATTAGTTTTGCTCTCAAGAAGGTGGTAAACAATGCTGTTGAGTTACATTAATTTCTGTATCATAATTAAGCCAAGAATTTCAATATTCCAGACTACATATTAATGTATGTAAGTGGTACTTTCTTTGTAACTTCAAGTTTCCTTTTCATTTTGTAACATATTATAAACTACTTGTGTTTTTGCCTGTTTTTTGGTGGTAGTTTCTGTTTTTCTGCTTGTCCTTAAGGCATTTGATAAGGAGAGATGTTATAGTATATGGAATGCCCTACTACTTTTCATTTTCTTTCTCCAAACTTTTTGTTATGTAAGGTTTCAAACATAAAAATAGATTTAAAAGATAGATAGTACTGGGTGTTGTACGCAAGCAATGAATCATGGAACACTACATCAAAAACTAATGATGTAGTGTATGGTGATTAACATAACATAATAATAAATAAAAATAAAAATACATCAAAATGGTAAAAAAATAGATTTAAAAGAGTATAATAATGACCCATGAATAAGTGAATAAGTAGGTGTTCACATTTCAAATGTATAATAAATATATGTGTATACAGATGTGTATACATATATCTATATACTTGTACACCCATGTATGTGTAATATATATACATAGGCATGTTGTATTTTGTTGAATCATTTGAATTTAAGTTACATATTTGATGACATTTCACCAGACTACAAATTAATCATACATTTCCTAAGAATTGGACCTTTTCCCATGTAACCAGATATTGTAGTCACATTATATTATCTAATATCCAAGCCATAATCTAAAATTTCCCAATTATCTCAAAAATGTGTCCTGCAAAATAATGTAATATGATACTGTGTTTGATCACATGGATATGTTAGTAGCCCATCAAAATATCTACATTTTGGAGCTGGTTTTTCTTGTGGAGATTAGCAAGTAATCTGTAGAGTGTTATTTTGGCTTCATTTCTGAAACAACTTTTATTTAATAGCGTTGTTACATGGAAGGCTGTAGAATGGTGGTTTTTCTAATTCTGTCATGTTTTCTGCATGATTAACTGCTGTTCTTCTATAAAAAAACAAGTTTTTTCTCATCAACCAGGAATGAACCATAGTTTTCGTGTGTGTAAAGGGCAAGGTACACGCTTAATTCTTTCTCTCTACCAATTTTCATGGTTAGGAATTGATTTAATACTTAGAGTGGTATAATTCCACTCTAGTGGAGCTATTTTTAAAATACTTTAAGTAAAAGATAAAATTGCTCTTTTGCTTTCAGAGCTGAAATAATCTTCATAAACTTACAATCTTTTCTGATCTTACCCCTTTGGTTGATGGATCTAAAGAGATTGTCATTTTTATCTTATTCTGCAGAAATGATCCTATTAGTTAAAATTGATGGAAAGACCCATCTTTTTTCCCTTTTCATCTTTTCAAATAAAGAATGATGGTAAGAGGATAATATAGAGTATTTTGAATAATCTCCCTTCTAATATCTTAATTAGTCATTTTTGATAGAGAGGAAGATTTTGCAGTGATTGTTGATCAGTAGGATTGATTTAATTAATGAAGACAAAGATTTATGGAAATGTTCTGAATGTTATGGGAATTAAGTTAAATTTGAAGAAACAATCTGGAAGTTATGTCACTTACAGCACTCCACTTGGAGTAACCAGTATGACTCATTTTGATAGTCCATCTGTTATGTCAAATCTCCTTTGTATTAATGTATATTTCATATTACCATAGTCAGAGTGTTTCAGACATTGGAAGCTGTATTTTTTCCTGCCTGTGGCTTTCCATTAAAATAAGAACATCCTATATAACCTAAAGAATATTTTAGTTATTTCTTTCATTGTCTAACAATGAGTTCTGGAAAACCAGTTTTCTATGACTTCATAATTTTGATGTACATTTTTTATTTGATTTCTATTTGAATTCCCAAATTTGTGTTTTTATGGTAAGATTAATAATTTTTATATTTATACCTACTTTTTTTGTGTTCCTAATGTACTAGTTGTATAACTCTATGATATAATTTATCTTGGGATAATCATTTCCTTAAATACTTGTTTCCCTACCTATCCTCTGGGTTCCGCTTTACATTAGGGTTCACTCTTGGTGGTCTACGTTCTGTCAGTTTTGACAAATATATAATGGCATGTATCCACCATTATAGTACTATACAGAATAGTTTCACTGCCCTTAGAATCCCCTTTGCTCTTGTTCATCCCTCCCTCCCTCAACCTTTCACAACCAGTAATCCTTTTACCGTTTCCATAGTTTCAGTTTTTCCAGAATGTCACATAGTTGGAATCTTACTGTATATAGTCATTTCAGATTGGCTTCCTTCATTTACTAATATGCATTTAAATCTCCTCCATGTCTTTTCATGCCTTGATTGCTCATTTCTTTTTAGTGCTGAATAACATTTCATTGTGTGGACATACCATAGTTTATTTGCTATTTGTGTATCTTCTTTGATGAGGTGTCTGTTCAGATCTTTTGTCCATTTTTAATTGGGTGGTTCATTTTTTTTTAAAGATTTTATTCATTTATTTGACAGAGAGAGACATAGCGAGAGCAGGAACACAAGCAGGGGGAGTGGGAGAGGGAGAAGCAGGCTTCCCGCAGAGCAGGGAGCCCGATGTGGGACTTGATCCCAGGACCCTGGGATCATGACCTGAGCCGAAGGCAGACGCCCAATGACAGCCACCCAGGCGCTGGTGGTTCATTTTTTAATTGTTGACTTTTAAGAGTTCTTTGTATATTTTGGATAACAGTCTTGTGTTAGATATGTGTTCTGTAAATATTTCCTTGCAGTCTTTGGTTTGTCTTCTTATTCTCTTTTTTTAAAGATTGATTGATTGATTGATTGATTGATTGATTGATTTGACAGAGAGAAAGATAGTGAGAGAGGGAACACAAGCAGGGGGAGTGGGAGAGGGAGAAGCAGGCCTCCCGTGGAGCAGGGAGCCCGATGCGGGGCTCGATCCCAGGACCTGGGATCATGACCTGAGCCGAAGGCAGATGCTTAACGACTGAGCCACCCAGGCGCCCCTGTCTTCTTATTCTCTGGAAAGTGTTTTTTGAAGATCAGAACTATTTAATTTTAATGAAGTCCAGCTTATCAGTTATTTCTTTTATAGATCATTCATTTGGTGTGTATATAACCTCTTTAAAACATATAAATTGACATTCTTCTGCTGTTGTATTCTTAAGTCAATCTTACATAGAATGTTGTAATTTCTTGAAGGGAAGATCATTTTATGAGAACTATTTTATGAGTTTTAAGATCTCTTTTATTTTTTTTCTTGAATCTCAAATGAGGCTTCTTAACTTCTATCTAGGATCTGGGAGGTCCATGGATAGAATTCAGAGAGTATGTCGACTTAGGAAAAAAACTACATCTTTATTTTTTCTAATCTCTGATGAAAATTTCCTTCACTTATGAATATGTAAAATAAACCAATGGAGTATTAGCTGTACTGATGAGTTTATGAGCAGTAAAAATAACAGATGTTTTCACGTCATTTCTACCTTATTTATATAATTCTTTCAATATTCCTTATGGTTCAAAATTATGGTAGACCCTATATTTTAATATATAACAAAAAGCACATATTCTGCATGTCAGTTTTTAAAATCACAAGTATTTTACTTTGTCTTAAAAATATATTATTCTGAGAAAGATGTTCCTAGGCTTCACCATATTGCTAAAAAGGTTCATGGCACTAGAATGTTTAAGAGCCTGTTATCCAAAGGTTTATGCTTGGTGTGATTTCACCTTTCTAAACACATTGGAAGCTAGCACTTTCACTGGAGATGCCATTCACATTGCCTGGCTCAGGCTTGGTGATTGAGTTAAGAAGTGACATTCCCTAGTCATGGAATCTGCTGATGTGATAGAGACTTAAAACAAGGAAGGAAAATCCTTTGTGAGTAAGGACAGAATGCCAGGAGATGAATATTAATTTGGTTTCAACTACTGGGGAACGTTCTTTAACGGAAGTCAGTTCTAATCTGTAACCTAAAAGACAGTTAGCTAGGGAATAATGATTCTGTGTCTGGTATATAAATAAATATTAGTTGAATGAATGAGGCAAGAAAAATATGGCACATTTGACATAGATTGTGGAGCAGAGTCTATACAGTGGACTCATCCGTTTATTATGTGGCAGATATATTTTTCAGTGTGTCATCATTTCTGCAACATTTTATAAATGCTTTGTACCTGTTTAAATATTTGAATTAAACGGAGGGTTCATAACTCAGCAACCACTCACAAAATTGGCTTGCAAAATCTTTCATAGAAGATTGTGGAGATTTCATGCAACTGCTTGCAATTCATCTTAGTTATTTACTGTTCAGCTCTGAGTATTTTTGCTACTCAGAATATGACTGTTATGGCTTGAGTATAAGTGAGTGTGTGTATAAAAGATTCAATTCTCACTGATTTGAAAGCCTCGACTTTTTTTTTTTTTTAAGCTGGTGACTGAGTTGTTTCTTATATAATGATATTGGATTCAGCTGTGGCTGCTAACGATTATCCAGCTCCTGTGATTATGTGACATTTTATTTTGCTTGTATAGTTTCTGTATTATATTTCTTGTTTTATCTTAACCCTCTTAGATTGAGACAGATACACCTACATACACATGAAATGTTTGAAGCAAGAGGCTGGCATTGCCATTTGTAAATGCATGGATACCTTAGTGGTTGTTATTTTCCCCTTTAGTTACTTATGGTATAGTTTTAAAAAATATTTTTGGGAGATCAAATAATGTATTTTCTATTGATCTTTAAATCCTCCAATAAATTTACTTATG